CGTTTCGGCGAGACAACAGCGCCATCATCAGATTTAAAATTTACACAAACTCATAATTGGTAAATATTAACGTTCTTTTAGGTCTTTGCCTTCTTGAAACCTTAAATTTGTCTTTCCAAGAGACCAATTATGAGTTTGTGTAAATTTTAAATCTGATGATGGCGCTGTTGTCTCGCCGAAACGTAATGAAATAAACGATATTCTGTTTACTTCACACTTTGACTGAGACCCAGGGTAGATAAGAATCTGATTAAATACATTTTGAAACAAAAAATCAATTTCCTAATTCCGCACGCGATTCTCTAAGGTAAATAAATGCATGTGCTCGGGCTCCAGAACACAAATTTTGTTTTCGAAATAACGCAAAGTTCTCACGTAGCTTTGCAGCTACAAATGTGAAAAGTGTCGCTGCTTAAAATGCAAAATTGCTCTCCACTACAACTTAGTTACGTTGAGAGTTTCTAAGGATATCAGGAGCTTCAAGGAGGCGAAACGAGATTTTAATATATTTGAACATCCCAGCTGGCTAAAATGGCTGTGAAACCAAAAAGTTATTAATATTAAGCGCGCTTGGGTCTTCTATCAGTTACATGGACTTAGTGGTAAGCACTGATGGGAAAACGAATTTATTTGAAAATTTATGCAAATTCCAACCTACTGACCGATTTCCAAAGTTTCGAGGCGCATTTCCATTTTTCCACTGCATTTAGTTCCGAACTTCAATCAAACCTTCGGTTCGCTGAATGCGAATGGGGCCGAGCCTTTTATCTGGTTTGATAATCTCTTGCAGCTAAAACCGTATTTAACGGATTTTTTCACGTGTTTTTCCAACAGAACCGCTCACTTTATTTAAATGGTTTTTTAAACATTTAAACATAGAATATTAACTAACACCCGGTATATTAAAGAATTTGCAAACCAAAAATAATATCCTCAGAATACAAAGAAAAATAGCTGAAAGTAGAAGAAATCAATATAAACAGTATTTTATTCGCCTTGTCCGTGTCCAAAATGGACAAAATAATACTCCAAATGTATGCCAAGGCTTAAAGCAACAACAACGCTACACATGTAAGTAAAACTATCTGTTATTTTAGAAAAACTAATGATGGTGGAAAAACCGAAACGTATTTTAATTGATAAATAGAGACAATAAATGACTGAAACCCAGGAATTAATTTTGATTATTTATATGATTAATCGTGTTTACCACGCATCAAAATGAATTTTTTCCCTTCATATACCCTTTGATTCGTTTATGATTAAGTCTTCTCAATTTAGTTCAATTTTTTAGTCTTGGATTAGTTCAGTTACAATTTATTTTTTGAACATACGCGCGATGGCTTAACAACTGTATCCTGTCTCTATAGCTCTTCCTCGTTTTACCGTCTATTTTATACAGATAGAACGTCTTCCAATCACCAAAATTAATTGATTTTTAGTCCTGTTCAGATACAAGTTGTAGCAGACGTTCATGAGCAACATACACAAGAGCAGTCACAAAAACATGTACAACAGCTCGTTAAAGAATGTTAAATGTTGCAAATACAGAAGATATTTTACATTCAAAAGGAAATTAAATTAAATTTTACCCATTTATAAATTATTAGACTAACAAGAATATCAAAATTATAAAATAACAAGTTCAAAATGTTATGGTTTCTATAAATATATGAAGTTATCACTTCTGTCGAGCGTCCGGTGGCCATTTTTCTAACACTTTCTATACCTGTTGCCGGTAAAAACTTGCCTTTGCCCTAGTTTCACTTTAATTAATCTCTATCTGCTGTTCTTTATCTTGCAAATATGTGGTGGATGCAAGCACTTGGCGTTTTCCTTCAAGTGTCCGTTCAATTATTAAAGCTTGAACCTCTTTGCAAAATAAAGGAGTCTTGTAAATGCAGCACTTTTGGCTGAACCAGCTGCAACGAAAAGGACACTAATGGTGTTCAAGGAGCAAGAAAAAATGCGCAAAAAATTGAGAACTTCATGCGTTTATGCCAGCAACTGTGAGGCAACATTCAACTGCAACCGGAGGATGGAAGTTATAAATATTTAGCAGTGGCATTGCTTTGATGATAGAGCTGCCGCCACAAATCCATTCGTTTTCCTTCCGGATTAACCTCGATCGTCAACTCTTTGGAAATATGCAAAGTGTTCAATTGACGCGTCATCGCAGGCTTCCAGCTCAGCCCGAACTCGCTGGCATCCGGAGTTGGATTGCCCGATCTGGCAAAGTTGGCCCAAAGCCGAACAAGCCGCCTTAAAGACGCATCTTCGATGCTGGATGGCGCAATTTGGGGCGTGAATGGCGTTTTGAAGAAGTAACCGAGGTCATCGCCGTGCGAACAGCCTGAAAACTCGAAACTTGGAACAACTGTTTTCCTGGCTAGTTAGAACGTACCAGCAATCTCAGTTAGCTGGCAGGCTTTTTTCACGAAATTCAGCTCGGTGTCCAGAGAAAGCTTGTACAAGTAGACGGGATATGGGGAAGTTTGCGAGTGGTTCTTCACGCTCCCCACGATTCCGCTAATGAACCAAGCGTCTGATATAATCTGCAATCATTTAACATTGAGCCAGTTCTTCTCGGTGATCAGCTGAAAGTACCATAACAGCATTGTCGTCTTTGTCCGGGCCGTTTAAGTAGAGGTTTTGCAGCTTCTCTACGTAGGTCCAGCGCAGGGTCGAATTGGACCTCAGATTCACGTTATGGGGAATGAAGTATTCCGGCAACACTTTCTCAACCCCACCAGTTAGATGGCGTCTGTAGTTGAACAGGATTCCTGCAAGGAATTCGCAACTCTTCAGCAAACCGTGCAAATCAACCGCAGAACTCACCCTCTTTGTTGTTGTAGCCGAAGATCATCGGCACTTTGTTATACTCCCCTGTAGTGATAATGTCGATGGGCCTCTTATTCAAAAATGCGTTTTTTTTCGCCTGTGGCTCAATGACCAACCCAATTGGCCGTTGGGCGCCGTGCGCAATACTCTAAAGCAAATTCAGCTCTTCATCGAAAACATCAATCTTTGTATGGGATAAATAAGCTTCGGTTTCAGTCAACAGCTAGCCGGCTTCTTTTTTGCAAAGTATTATTTGATAAATCCACAGACGCCTATCGGGTGCACATTTTAAAAATATTTTTGTAATGTACAGAATGTCCCAAAAGCCCTAAAAGCATCAAAGTTGTGTTTTTCTAAATGAAATACCCTATATAATATTGCATTTTTGGATTCTCTGAGCAAAATAAGTCTTGATTTTAATAAGATTGATAATGTCTAAATCTAAAGGTTTTTTAAATAATTCGAATTTTATCAAAAT